TTACTTTTTTTTTAATATATAAAATAAATAATTTAAACATAGCATTCTTTGAAAAAACTTAAAATTAGAATACAACACACCAAAAAAAACATAGAAATTTAGATTACAAACCTAAGAATTTAAAAAAACATAGAAATGTAAAAAAAGAAAACACTCAAATTAAAAAACCTAAACTAGATGTTATATTTTTTGCAAGCTCCTATTTGGCTTTTAAAGTCAATTCTCGTTCGCGTCCGAATAGCTCGTTTGTGGGTCTTGCTAAAATGGACAAGGCACGAGTTTTTTCTTTCTCTAGTGCAAAGTCCAAGTATCGCTCCAAGGAAGACTTTAAACTATCCATTTTTGTTGTTAGTTTGTCGACGTCTTCGGAAGTAGTTGTCACGGCTTTTCTCTTTCGCTTTGCCTTGTCTCTTCTCATGAGACGAGTGGCTCTTGGAACCTCAAAAGGCTCATCTTCATTGAGATCAATCTCGATATGCGCATCGGACGATTGACTATATGTCGTTTCGGACGTTTTTATTCTTTTAGACGGACCACATGTAAAAGTTTCAGAAGATGCAACATTCTGCCATTTTTTTGACAACTTTACAATGTTCCAAACATGTAAAAGTTTGAATGGCGCCCCTTTTGTTCCCAGTACATGTCAAGAGATTTTTTGCAAAATGGTTTCGTCGTTTGTACCACTTTGTCATTACCGTTTCACACTCGAAAACAACCCATTGAACTCCGTCACCACTTTGTTAACATTTCGCCACTTAGAATAAATTTGGTCTTTTTTCCGGTAATCACGAAGTTTCATCTCGTTGAGAAACCGTCGCGTGATTTTCCGGAAGAAAGTTTGACAATCTTGGTTGTTTCCGACCACCGGATCTTCGAAAACATTCACCCAAGCACGCGCTAACGTCTTTTCTTCGGCGGATGTCCGTTGTTTTGGAGGCGCCCTTCCACTTTTTTTGGTCGTGGTGGATTCTCTTCCGGCTCAGATTTCGTTTCCGGGACGCCTTCGCGTTCCACTTCAGTTTGAAATTTGGTTTGATGGTTCATTGGGGAGTCGGGAAGATCATCAAATGGATTGAACTCATATAACATTTGGGATGAGAAGTTCATTTGTGGTTGGTTTTGAAACTGGAGTTGTCTTTGAAATTGGGGTTGGTTTTGGAATTGGGGTTGGTTTTGGTATTGTGCTTGATTTTGGTATTGAGGTTGGTTTTGCACTTGAAATGGGTAGTAAACACCACCAAAATGTAGATTTAGTGGAGAATAAATAGGACGATCGCGTTGATTTTGAATGAAAGTTGGTGAAGAATGTGAGATGTTTGGGTTTTGAGTGTTTCTTTTGGTATTTTCTGAGCTTTTGGGTTGGAAGAGGAAGCTATTTTTTTTAAAAAAACTTGAATTGTTTGAGTAAAAATATAAAGATGATGAAGTGGGATAAAATATGAGAAAGAGTGATACTTATGTAAGGTAAAAAGGGGAGATTTTTTGATTTTTTTTTTGAAAAAACGGCGATATTTGACCCTCCAACGTTCACATTTACAAACCCAATACACCCTCTCTCCTCGGTGAAAGCTAGCTGAGTTACCGAGTCGACCTCGGCATGCCGAGGGGTCGGCCTGGTGTGCACCGTGTTCGCTGAGGTCCGTTGCCAAGCTATCCGAGCTCCACACCGTCCAGCCTAATAAAATTTGTAACATTTATTAAAAAGTTCCCTAAGTTTTAGTTTTTATATATTAATAGTATATATATTATATTACATATAATATTCACTGTTTTTTACTTTTCGTTGATAAATTAATTTAATAAACATATCATAAATAGTTTTTTAAATGACGAACATTACAACTTTTATTGTCAATTTCTAAATGGAATATAAAAATAATTTATAGATTACTTAAAAAATAAAGTTTTACATAGACGTAGCGGATAAACGAGTAACAAGCTGTGCCGCAACCCTTTTTTGGATGGAAAAACTAATGTGCAGTTTGTTTTTTACAAAGCGAAAATGTCTGAAGTTTGCGGATCACCTCTGCAACCCTCTATAGTGAAAGAGGGGGGACCAAACGGCTGCAGCATTTAATAAAAAGTTTGTTTGTTTTTTAACATCTGCAGACTGCTACAATAAGTTAAAGTAAGGTGTGAAGAGGTTTGAAGCAGAGGGTCAAGTGATGCGTCACGCAGCACACGCGCAGCAGTTTTTAAATCAGAAGTCTTCTGAAAAACAAACAGTTGCGAAGGGTCAAGTGCTGCGCGACGCAACATTAAGTAGTTAGAAGGGGTTTTTTAGGAAAAACAAACGGCACCTAATTCTTTTAAAAACAACATCTATAGATCTTGGGGTCATAACATTACTATGCATGACCCGTTGGACTCTATTGAGTAGATTCACAGCTTCTGGCGCAAGGAAACCGAAAGTATTAAATGCAAAAGATATAAGTGTGTTAATTTTTCATGCACGCTTTCTCATGTTTTGCCACTTTGTTTGTTGCAACTTTTTAAGCAGCTTATACTTTAGGGTGGCACGATACTCCACTGGCGACATATGTTGGCCAAGACCGTCAATAGGAATAGTCATAAGAAAATCCTAAGCATGTTGGGCCCTTAGACACTCAAAAATTGCTTTCTGCCTAATCGTCATGTCGAAGTGAACTTTCATGTCTTTGACAATTTTACTAAAAAATGGCACTCGCCAATGAATGTTGGGCTTTTGGAGGAGCGGTGTCCTTATTAGTGAAATTACTGAAGTCAAAGACCGGAATCGTATCACGAAGACAGGCCAAAGCACAAACATAATCTGAATCTATACCACATATGTTGTTATCTCGTAAGATGTGGTCTTGTAACACCCACGATTGAGCTCGTGAGGCCACAAAAGCATAAGAGGAAGTTTCTACTGTTGAGTACAAACCCAATCCACCAAACCTAATTGGTAACGAAGCCAGTCCCCAAAGAACGGACCCCCGTTAAAACCACAATGTCGTAACGACCATGTGAACGGGTTGGCACGTCCTCAGGCCAAAGAAAAGTTTGGCGATGCCCATGCAAAATCGAAGCAAAATGAGTTCACTGTAGCGGTCATGTAACTGTGGTGGAAGGTGCATCAAATCAACAGCTTTGGCAGCCTTCTTCATGGCTAACTCGCTAATAAAATTCACATCTCTACTAGCAGCTCCCCCAAGAATTATTTTTTTATATTCAGATGCTTAATAAAAATGATATTATTTATGTATACACTAACAAACATAATTATTAGATTTAAAAGGAAAAAAATAATAAGAAAAAGAAACAACGCATAATTCCTAGGTCAAGGTGGTAAAACATGTTTAAGAGAATAGTATTGGGTTGAGGTAAAATTAAGTAAATTCTCAGTATAGATTGAACCGACATGTGTTGGATTGACATATTAGCATTTGTTTATTTCTTTTTCAAAAATTTTGATAAATATTTAGTATCTTGAATATAATTATGATATTATATCATTATAATAAATAATTTCATTATATTTAACATGCTTTATGTGTCCCGTTCTTTTTTTATAACAATTTTTTTATAGAAAATAATACATTACTTAAATAGTTCGTCTATCCAAATAGCTATTAAGCTATCAATCTATTCCCTTATCATGTCAAACAAAAAACCAACATAAAAAGGTTTAAATAACATCGGAAAATAGAAAACTGTAGCCAATCGGTTTTGTAAGAATAAAATAAAATTCAATCATTGATATAAAATAAGAAAGAATTAGTGGAAATAAGTAATAATAAGTCGTGTGTCTTAATAAATCTTATCCACTAATCTGAATAGGATCCGATTCAGCAATCATCAATTCCCATATCTTTCTTTTATAATATAAATATAAACAGTGAGATTGCAAATTCGGAACTCGGAAGGTGGTTATCGATTCTTGGATTTGTGAAATTCCATCTCTTGTTACATTGGGGACCATCAGATGAAGACGATCTGGGAAAAAGAAGATGGCGATGGATATGGTGGTGGTTGCCGGACGTCGGCGTTGCTGCCGGAGACACAAGTTGGCGGAGGAGGAGAAAATGGAAGCATGTTTGAAGGATCAACGAAATCGATGATGATCGTACGAGAAGAGGAAGAGGAATGTAATTCATCGAGTAGTTCTTCGATCGGAGACGACAGTGACGACGATCGGGAAGGAGATGTCGAGAGTCATTACGCATATGATCATCATAACAACAATGGATCCTTCGATGATGCAATTCAAGCCCTGGAACAAGCGTTGCCAATCAGGTTTACTTTCTTCAGAAAACTTGGAATTCTGCATAAATTTGTGATCTCTAATTCGTTATAATCATCTGCCATGACCGATCTTATGCATTCGTAATCAACATTACATCAAAAAAAAAAAAAAAAATGGACAAACGATCTGTTTGTTAGATTTCTCCGATTCATTGGAAGTGTTTATCACATTGCCTTCTTTCTCCAAGTAAACCTCAAAAGTTGCAGTTAATTTGCCAAATTTTAAAAGCACAAATCGAATTCTCGATTGTTAATAGATATTGATATTGTTACAGGAGGGGAATATCATCATTCTACAATGGGAAATCCAAATCTTTCACGAGCTTAGCAGATGTGTGGCCATCAACATCATCTTCCAGTTCCAGTTCCAATTCCATACAAGACATTGCAAAACCAGAAAATGCTTACACAAGAAAACGAAAAAATCTTGGAGCTTTCAAACTATCAAACATAAACACTGGAAGGATATCCAAGAAACCGAAAACCACAACAATAACAACATTTCAGCAATCTCAAGTCAACAGACCACAATTGTCGCTGAGATCATTCTCAATGGTGAACTTGCATCAATGCAATCCCACAAAGATTGAAAATTGTTAGCCCAAACTTAACTTTTATGTTGTAAATTGCGTTTAACTTTTAAGTGTTTCCATCAACCATACGAAATAGAACCCTATAACTCTGGGCCTCTATCTTTACCACTTCAAAATAAATAATTGGATTTGATTTGGCTACGAGAATGAGAATCCACTGGAATCGATTACAATGTGCACAACAAACAAGCTTTACAAAAGAATAAAAAAAGAAAAGAAATTAACTAGTAGTATTTACTTTACATGGAACTTTGACTTGCTTGCACTCCTAATTAAATATCCCTACAGAAACGATATATTTCCTTTCCCCTACCGTAAGCATGCAAATGGTCTTTTATCGACAAATTCACTTGGGATTTGGAAGTAGAAATTGTGCCGAAGGATATTCAGCTAAGAACGCAGGGGGCTCGATATCTGTAGGATCAATGCCAGGAATTGCCATGTAGATATCTTCTGTAGAGAATGGAATGCTGCAATATATGTATATGTATATGTACACACCAAAGATGAATTAAATTTCAAAAAAAAAAAAAGATTTATTTAGATGAAATGATTGGAATTAAGAATTACCTGAGATCATCGTCCAATAAGAATGAATTGGAAGTAAGATTCTGAGAGTCCTTGTTCAGCATTTCCCTCATCTCAGTAACAACCTAAAAAAACAAACAAACATTAACATTGTCAATTGTCATTGTATTATATAAATATTAGTAAACCAAATGAATACTAACCTCATTTGAGACGCTTTGGGTCCCATATTTGTCATCCCAGTACATTGTACTTATGCGATATATTTGTCTAACAGTCAAACGCCTATCCAATCCAAAATCACAAATTATTAGTATTAAATTAAATGTGATCTCAGAGATAACAAGATGATAATAAATCCATCATTAAGCTTAGAGATTAAGAGATATATATATAGATACCGGACATAGATCCTGTCTGATCTCTTCCAGAGACTTTTTTCTTTTCTGGTGTATCACCTATTTAAGAATTTAAAAAAAAAAAAAAAATAAAAATAAAATAAAATGCAAGTGAATTACACCTTTTTATGTGGGACAAAAAAATACAAGCTTTGTCCGGTCCTAGTCTAATGCATGTCCAAAAAATAGAGTTTGGTTTGTCATGTGGTGTGTAATAACTAATAACTATGACATGATAGCAAGAGAGAAATAAAGTTTACCAGAAACCCAACGGCTTGTCTGATATAATTTAATTCATGCCAAGAAGTTCCTGCAAACTACACCAAATCGAAAATGTTGATTGTTGAGTTAGTTAGTACACATAACACAATCTAGACTTTATATATATTGATAAAATAAAACACCTCTTCCTTTGCATTGGCTATCCATTTCTCAAGTTCTGCTAGACCAGATTTCACGTATTCCCCGTTTGAGAATGTGCAGCATTCTCGCCGCAATAAAAGGCTACAAGAAACTTCCACCTCAGTATCACATTCATATGACCTAATAATACCAATATTTGGATCATATACCTGTTGAAAAGTGATATGTTGAGGAATGAAAACACCTGTGTTGTAAGCTTGCGTATGAAAAACGAAGGTACCTGTCACATATGCATATAATATGTTTATATATACAATAACTCTTTATTCTATAAAACTATATTTTCTTCAATTTTCCAAAGTAGAATTACATACATGATTTCCACGTAGGCGATCCATCAAGGAATCCAAAAACTCTATGATCTTCTCCCACTGACTACCAGCAGCCTGCTGAGGGATGCCACTAGGTGACCTTGAAGGTTTACCACCATGTACTCGTTGGTTCTTGGGCGCCTTTATTTATTTAAAAATCAACATTTTAATTTTATAAATAAATCTTTTTCATTTAAACTTGCTATTATACAGAAAAACCAACCTGGATGCATGAATTCAAGAGCGGTGATATTTCCTTTTTTAAGTTGTCTCTTATCAACCCAAATATCTTCTCCACACAAGCTGTTAACTGTTGTTTAAATAATATAGCTGGATACCTAGCTTCCATGGGTGAAATCCCATCATCAACAATGTATTTATGCGGAGTGTACCCCTGAGCAACATACAAAATTAAATTTAAATTAGGCAAAAAGGGTAAAACTGGAAGAAAACAAAAACCAAAGCTTACTTGTGCAACCCTTCCATTCGAAAAAGATGACACACCAGAACGCTGAGGTGTCAAGAAACCATTGGACCTGAAGTTTCTTTGCAGGAGGCATAAAAGAGCTGAAGCATTGGACAACCAGTATGGTAAGGTAAGTCCCTCATCACCCATCTGGAAATCATAATGAGATTTTTTTATTATTTATAAGAAAGAAATAAGAAACAGAGAGTGAAGAAAGTAGACGACCTTAAGAGCACTGTTGATGTTCTCAATAATGAAGTCGAAAATTGTAGTTCTTTCGGATTCAAAGGCATGCCAATGAAGAAGGCACTTATATATAACAGTAGCAGCCACAGGTTTTCCATCTTTGAATCCCAGGTTTTCTTTAATACACCGTGACAGGATTTCAGAGTTCTCCTGCTGTTTTTCAGAAGTCATCTTTGACCGACGTGAATCCGTCAAACCTTGGGAATTTGGATTTGCGCTTTTCATAGGCGTAGGGGTTTCCTACATAAGAATTACAATGTCACACTCACACACATAAAATAATAATAACAATAATAATAATAATAATAATAATAATAATATGTTTGGATGGAAGATTAGGCAAATTGGTCTTTACATATATAGATTTTCGCTCTGTGAAGGGAAGAGCAAGTGCACCAGAGAACTTCTGTGTACAAAAATAATCAACACATGAAAGAGTTATTATGTGTTGTATTCAGATTAAAAATAAAAATAAAAACTATTAATATACCTCAAGAAACGGCTTGGTGTTACTTTGCCAGTTCCCTCTTGAAGTGGCACTTAATGTCTTCTGTCTTAAAACATGGTTCTCTTTCTCCAAACTTGTTAGCTTTTCCTCAAAGCTACACAATAAAATCAAGCATAAAACAGAAGCATATATAAAATAAAAATACTAAATACAACAATACCTTTTTAACTTCTGTTGGAGTAGTGCACATGTTTTCTCAACCTCCCTCAATTTTTTAAGGTTACTGGATGCATCCTCTTTAGCCTCAGTAAGTTGGCTTTGCAGTGTTGAGTTCTTCTCTTCCAATGTACTCAGTGAGCTCTACATGGAAATGAAATAAGTAGAGCTTCAAGTTCTATATTTACATATTCAAAATAATTTATCTACTCTACTTACCTTCAAATATGAATTTTCGTTTCTCAAGTCAGCCATTCCAACTAGTTCTCTTTCCAAAGAAGATTTTTCTTTCACTGACATTTCCAGTTGGTTTTGCAACACTTCGTTTTTGTTGCATTCATTCACAGTAGCCAACTTTGCTGCATCCAACTCAAGAACCAAAGATTGCACAGTTTTTTTAAGTTTTGCAATTTCCACAGATTTTGACTCATCAGTTGACCCCTGCATTAATTACATTGTTGTCTCGTTACATCAAATGCATCTACATTTTAGCAAAAATAACTTAACCAGAAACCAAGAATACCCTTAATTTTTTCTCTAGTTGCAAGCGCCACGTCAGATCCTCCAGCTGTTTTTCTAGCTTAGTTTTCGCTAGGCGCAAGGCACCAGTTTCATTAGCCTCCTGTAAGATGTAAAAGAAAATGATATACAAATACAAAACAAGAAACAATAGCGCTAAACAAAGAAGACAATAAACGTAGCATTTTACCTGCTTAAGCCTCCTAAACTCTCTCTTTGCCAATTTTCTTCTCCAAAGACATTGTATTTTAGTAATATCATGCACACGATGACGAAAAGTGGAACGGATTTTATACGATCTCCATCGAGCCTGTGGAGTTAAAAAAACAATGAGATTGTTATATCAATTCTTAACATCTGACACACAAAAGTTTATGTTTAATTCTTGAAAGTTTACCTGAATTACAGTTGCAGCTCTGTGTTCCCTTATGTGTAGGTATCTTTGTCTAGTAATGAAACCACGGATGCTTGCTTGCAAAAGTACAGCAGAAACATATTGTTGTGTATAAGCATTCTTCAACAACCATCCACGAATGTACTTCTGTATCAAAATAGCAGCTGCAGCTTCACGTTTTCTAGCATATATAACTCTAGTAAGATGACCTCTGCAGTATGCTTGAAAAGAAATTGCAGCTTTTCGCTTTAATGTAAAATCTTTTCGTGCAATAAATGTTCGCATTCGAAGCTGTATACGCTTTGCAGCAGAATCCAAGACTCCAGCACGTTGACTATCCAATACACCAATTTGACCAGCCCTCAGGAAAACTTTGGTCTTCCCCAACTGTAAAAAATAATAAAATTAACAGTTTTACTTTACTAGGAAGTGTTAGGTGAACTCAAATTTCATGTTGTAGCTTTGAGTGACCAGATACAGACCTGGTAATTCTCAAGTTTTAGTTTTTGCAGGATTTTTTCTGTCATAGCACGTTCATCGTAACTGCAAGCACATCAGAACAAGGGTAAAAAAGAGATTTTACATTTTATTAAAAATAGGAAATAATGTCCAGCTCAGCACACCACCTTCCATCCATGACTTCCATGGCAATGAGTCCAAATCGGTCTACAAATTCATGATAGGTTTTCCTAGTAGGATAACCTGCAAGACTGATTCGAACAGCCTCCAAAACACCCTATACAGAAATGAAACACACAAAATCTGATAAAAAAATGTTGAAAAGTGAATAAAAAAAATGAAAATTAAAAAGAAAAAAAAAATTATGTTTGAAGTCACTGACCCCACAACGTAACTGATGTAACACACTTTGATTCTCAAACTTCTGAGGCCGGTTGACTGAGTTTGGTTTGACACAGCGGACATAATGAGGCTCTGTTGAACTTAGGGTATCCATGAGAGCTTGTAGTTGTTGCTTTAAAGAATACAGAAACAACATGAATACAACAAACATTAGCAAAGTTCAACAAAAATTTTAAGAAGAGAAAAATCATACCTTAAATCTAGATGCCACAGAAGAAAATTTGTATGATGATCTAGAAGATTCTTCTGGCATTGCTGGGAAAAGACCAGCGATAAAAGGACATGTGGAAGAAGACATTAGGTTACAGTGATCAATAACCACATAATCACGGTTTTTATCCAAGAAGGAATCTGTTTGATAATTGACCTGCATTTCAAGAATCATGATGGAATATTAATTACAATGTGTTTTATAAGTTATGTTAGTAACAGCTGTGCATTACTTGCCTTGCCAGCATAGTGAGAAATGGTAAAATCTGTCTCGGAGAATTTTGCCTTCCCTAACCTTGGGTGGGCCCGCAAATTCTGGAAAAGCTTGTTTGCAAATGTTTCATGTGTTGACTTTGGAAACATGCTGCAAAAAACATAAAAAAAAATTAAAGCATAATCTACTGAAAAATAACAGATAAATGTTTGAGAATTAAAATTCTTGTAAATCATTCGTACCAAGCTTCATCCAGTAGAGCAATTACTCCAATAGGCTTCTGCAAAAGCATGATGATATTAAGTATTGATAAATAAGATCTTGTACAATGCAAAAAATAATAATAATAATACATAAGAGATAAGAGATAACCTTTTCAATGAGATCTAAAACATCTTGATTATCTATAAACTCAATGTAACTCCATGTGATTTGTTCTTTCCGATACTCCTCCTGCTCCATCTTAAACACATGCTCATTGAAATGTTGCTGAAGCTTTTCATTTGCAAAATTAATACAAAATTGCTCGAAACTGTTATGCTTAAAGCATTCAAATCCATATATATCCAAAACTCCAATCTGCATGCGAGAATTATGATCTTGCCCAACAGATCTATTAATCTTTTCAACAAGCCTGAAACAAACAACAAAAGGTCATCAAAATTTAATAAAACCAATAAAGAAAGAAAAAAAAAAAAAAAAAAAGATTAAAGCTTGTAACAAACCAATCAAAAAGCCGAGCATAAACAGTCTTTGCTAAAGTATCACGGCTTGCAACAGCAGCATCACAATCAAGAGCCTTGACTATAACCCCTTCACGAGTCTGAATAGAACGTGTGCATAAAGTTTCCAGTAAAATTTTCAAATCACATTTGAAAAGCATGGCAGCTGTCTCCAAATGAAATTTTGATTTTTCATCCTTTACTTCTGATGAATCATGCTCTTTCCCTGGTTTAAATACCACATTCCCTAAATGAAGAATTGCAGCCAATGTCCGAAATATAGATTCTTGTTCTTCATTACTGATTCCAACAATATCCATGGCTCTTCTGGTTTTTACATATTCATCTGCACTGCTTACACCTTCCAACTCATAAACTTTACTTTGGTTCAAGTAATGGAAGTTGCTTGGAGGACCTAGATTGTACATGTCAGCATCTCTTCCAGATGCACATAACTGGTAAAAACAGTGGTAGTTTCTTTCTGGGTCTGTGATTTGGACTACACGAGATCTTTCAAGTAAGTAAGTTCTAATTGCAGCACCAGATATTCTACCATTTGAATCAAACTGAATCTCTACAAACTTTCCAAAGCGACTTGAATTGTCGTTTCTACTTGTTCTTGCATTTCCAAAAGCTTCTAGAAGAGGATTTGATTCTAGGACTTGTTGTTCAACTGTTCTGTCATCAATGGCAGCACGACCACCAACATATGTAAGATATTGCATGATTAATTTTGTGGTTTCGGTTTTTCCGGCCCCACTTTCTCCACTGACCAATATGGACTGGCTTTTTGCATCACCCATCATTGCCCTGAATATAGAGTTGTACATGATGAAAAAGAGACTAAAACGTGATATAATCATCAATTATTGATGAAATGACAACAAAAAGCACACCTGTAAGATGCATCTGCTACAGCAAATACATGGGGGCTTAGCTCACCGAATGGAGCTCCTTTGTATTGCTCCATCATGTGGACATTATAAAGATGAGGAAGCTTTGTGAACGGGTTGACAGCTATTAGAATGCTTCCTGTGTATGTCTAATATAAACACCAAGAACCGATTCAAAATGAAGCAATGCAAAAATCAAGGATAATGTAGTATGAAGAAAAGTAAAAGAGTGTTATAGAAGAAGTACATCAAGTGATGTATAGCAAATTAGCTGATCCCTTTGTGAAATAATTCACATTACTCAACTGTCTTATGTATCACTATCTCCATGGATCCTTTTAGAAGGTCCTTATCATCTAGATAAAGCTTGACCTCTAAAATTCTTGGTAAGGTAACTACAGTTACCTGCCTGTCAAACATACCCACTGTGCCAGAATATCATGAACATACCTCCTCTAGTACACAGAAAGATGACTAGTATGATTTGTTGACAGTTGAATGCCTAAGAAGTTCTTAAAACCTCTTAAATTGTTAGCTGAGATTCTAATTAGATAAAAAATTCAGCCATAAAATGGTCCTTAATTCCCTAATCCCATATAGGTCTCGGGCACCCGTTCTTCTACCTAATTCATAGAAACCTCTATGCATTGCCTAGATTTCAACCATAATATTGTCCTTATTTTCATACACCTTGTTCAAACTTTGTGTTTTATGCAGCAAAAGCAAATGCTTCTTGTGAAAGACCAATCCAATACTACGTTTGAGGTTCTATAATCATGAGATCCATCTAGAAATAATGTGAACATATGTAATCCCAATGTGTCAGAGAACATAGGACAAATGAATTCATGAATATGAGTAAAAAAAAGCAATAGTTTGTGTTAATGTTGTCGTATTCAAACTTAACAAATAGCACTCTTCATGCTCATGTACTGGTTATTAAGGTGTGGGTAATGCTCAAATTACTATTAATTACACACAGAGTGGAAACATATCTAAAAGAATGAGTATGCCTGAGACATTCTAAGAGAACTATACTAGGTGGCTACCAGATTTTCCAATAAGGAGTTGTGCAACAAGTCATACAAGTGGAATAGATATCGGCTCTTATTTCTCAAGAAGTCCATAGAAGGAAATTGCCCAAAATCTCCTACTCTAAATGAAAAGAGAATCACGACATCTTGGATAACTTTAAAGGAGAAGTATGTATAACCAATAATAAAAATACATGTAGAATTATAATTGATAACTAGTCAAATGAATCTTCATAAAATTATTTGTATAAAGATATTTGTTGCCATTCAATTATTATATATTAGGCATTCATGATATGCAAGGTGCATTCTCAAATTTCCAATCTTTCTCTTCAACTAGGACTATATGTCTGATTGTAGAAAATCCAATTAGAACGGATAAGCAACAACATATTAAGATTTTTCAGGTGCAACGAATCTATCCACATGGATTCACACTAGATTGACCAACACATTCTTTGTTTTAACATGCAATATATCATAATTAACACGCATTGAAGTGCATATCATAAACAAACTAAACACACAAAAACAGGACAAGAAGTGTGAGAGCATACACACATGCATACAAAATTATAAACATACACATTATGAAAATCCATACAGTCATTATTATGATTACGAGGAGATTAACTAGGTCTAACTCATTAGAAAGTAAAGCTCAAAATCAAAATAAAAGATGTCACTTACATATATCTCGTTAAGAGCATAACGTTTCTTAAGATTATCAAGCACTCCTGGTTCATTCAAGTAAGCCAATTTGGTCATATCATCCACCCCACCATACTCTGCATCAGCATCTCTGAGTAACAGCTTATCCGCAAAAGTCAACACCTTCACAATGACATGCAATTACAAAGTGATCAAAAATGAAGTTACAGCTTGTCACATTATGTTGTCTAAATGGTTTAGCAGTTTCCAGATAATTCTTTCATAAAATTTCAAACTATGGATTAGTCAATAATTTCAAGTTGGGTTGTCACCTACTATCAAATAGAAGAGGACAATATGCCTAGAGATCTCACAATGCCAATTTACCTCTTAAGGCAATCAGTTGAGTTACTATGTAATGCCAATGTGGTTAACACTTCTTGCATTGTTTTTTCTGTCAAATAACTTGCCTATGTAGCTAATAACCTTAAACGGTTTATCAAACAGTTCATATATTTGATAATTAGCACAATACCATAATGTTCCATAGTCCAATAACCCACTCATTATTCATCATGTTACTAGCTTGTGGATAATATATTCTCCAATAAATAAGATCGCCTAACAATTGTACAAATTTAATATTCCCAAACTTTCGGTTAAAGCACTGCGGCTTTTTATCCACATTTAAAGTAGTATTTCCAAATGTGGAACAAAATTTTATTGGTAGATTGCAAGAAAACATAAATGTAACTATCAGTCTTCATATTTTAGATTCCATTCTAGAGATAAAAATTAGGTCATTTAACATCATTGTAGTGTAATATTCTCTGCCATTTAAGGAAACTGAAACCATAACTAGTCCAGAACGAATTTAAAGAAAGCAGCCACATCAGTCAGAATCCAATAATGTTCAATATACTTTAGTTTAGACTGTACATATAAGTGGCTTAGGCATCATGTAATTCTATCTGATCCACCAGTAGTTGACAAATTAAGGTCTTTTTCAGTTTTACACGAACCAATAAGGTAACAACAAGATCATGACTCCCATCAATGAAAACTGTTCTCAACATAGCCTAACCTTTCTTTCAAAGTTGAAATGTTTCGATCTCAATCATTTTTTTATGTCAACGAAAATGTACAGTTCTTTAGAAAAAACAAACAGCAAAACCGTCTTGACCATATATATTCGGATATTATTTCAATGAAGTTGCTTAAACAACAAGTCAAATCCCTCTCAGTTGACGAATTCTGTAGAAAAATATACAGAAATAAATAATCAACAAAAAATGAAATTCATTACCTGCTTCCCGGATTCAGTGATTACTTGAACCTGTTTGCCGGAGAAACCGCTGACTTCTCCGGCGGCCCAAGCTGTGCCTTTGTCCTCTAACCACACCTTGGACCCCTTACGGAGACTCATCGTAGTGTTGCTATTGGTCATCATAGCAAGCAAATCATCTAGGTCTTCAATATCCAGAACCCCAATAGAACCCTTGAACCAAATTTGAAATTCGAAGAAACCCTAGAAAGAATTTGGAGTAAATTTGGAGTTCCCGCCCTGAAAATGAAAGAGAAAAGGTCCTACAAAAGGGGCTGATGGCATACAGATACAGTAATCGACTATTTTAATGGAAAGATGGGAATTTAGGATTAAATTCTGCAGTTACGTATAACCCCATCCATGGAACTCCACCGTTTCAAACCCCACTTTTTTTACAGCAGCAAATAGCAACTTACAAGTCGGCAGAAACAGTTAACTGATTCTTTCTAATTTCTATGACTTAAAAACTAAATCTAAAAAAATAAAAAAAAACATCATAATTGTATAAATTTAAATCTGATCAAACAAAAATAATGTAATCTTATTGATAGATTTTTTTATTCAAATAGATTAAGTGAAAGATATGTGAAAGTACAATAAAGTGTATGTTTATTTTACCCAAGCAACTTTGTCTACTTTTTACCTTTTTAGGTTTAAATATTTTTCGTAAGTTGATTAAATTATAATGGTTTAAACATGTGATATAGAGCTTTATTTAAATTATAATGGTTTAAACATGTGATATATAAGTACTTAAAATAAATTAATTGCTATGTTTAAATGTTATCGTGAGATTAAGTCGGTTGGTTTAGAAAGACTAATTTTTAGATAACTTATTTAGGAAGGAAACATCGTAACTACTCACCATCGGAATAAGCTTTCAAGGCAGTTGTCAAGTCAGCCAGTAAGTAGGTAACAGTCAGCTAGCAAGTTGGGTAGTTCTTACCTGTTTGAGTACGAGACTTCGGTGTAGTAATACTATAACGGTTTTGACACATACTAAGGACTCCTTGTGTAAAGCAACTTCTTGTGCTTTTATTACAGTCAACGAAGTGCCGTCTAATCTAATAGGGTGTCGTCTAATCTAATAGGGGTTCATTTCGTTTCTTTTTTTGAAACGCCCAACTAACTAACTTACTCCTAAATAACCACATATGTCTTCACCGAGACTTGAACCCATGATCTCTCATATGAGAGGGTTACTCCTTACCGCTAGGCCATTGACCATTTGGTGTTCGTTTCGTTTCACCCATCATACATACTGAGTCAAAGGCAGGCGAACTCGGACCAGTGTAACAAAGTTTAGACTATCGCGATTGGACTTTACAATATAAGAGGTTGTGTAAAAAGGAAAGGGAAAATAAGCTTTGCAAAAGCTAAGGTTGAAGCTCTTTGGTCAATATTAGCACATATCGCATTTCATCATGATTAGGGTGATGTGGTTGTTCCATCGGTTTTCTTTATGGAGGGATCTCTTATTCCGAATATTCTTGAAAGGCAGATTGACAAGTGCGACGGGAGATGGAGATTCCAGAAAAGTCTACGAATAAGTAATTGAAGGATTGGCTTATGTGCTCAACTCAAGCAAGAAAAAGCTAGAAAATCAAGCATATTGAATGGTGGCAGAGGAGGGAGTGGTCAAAACATAACATTGTGTAAATGGTAGGCGACCACAACACATTGTCGTCCCTTTTTTTTCTTTCATTTTTTTCGCACTAGGAGTAGTTGTGACTTAATAATTCCAAAACTAAGGGTAAGCATTTTGACCAAATCGGATACTCGAACCAGTTTGGGGGGTAATAAGTGGACCGTGGACCGGACCATTAAGCATATATCGATGTCGGTGCCAGTTTTTCAACTTTTGGACCGATTGGAATTGATACAACATCTAATGTGGAGAATACAAGGCGATGAAGCAATTGATATCAATGGTTTTGGATGAGTTTTTTGAATATTCAAAAGTTCATATGAATTATTTAAGTTGTCTAGAATGTGTTTAACGAGTTTTTTCAAAAGAAACATAATTTACTTAAAATGGTGTTTCTAATGTCTATCATACAAACATAAAATGATGTTTTTTAACGATACCCCAACTTCAAGAAACTGTAACCCAATAAACATGTAACCAAATAAGATGATATTGTATTGTGAAATGAAGTACAAACATTAAATTATATGTTGGGGAAAAAATATCATGTTATTGCGAGTTCAAACGAATGAGTCATGACTAGTAGAAGAATTTCACATAATTTTCGGTCAAAATTGGTTTTTACCCGTAAAAAGGTGGAACCAGATCGGTAAAAATTTGGAACCGAAAATATGGATTAACGAAAACCTATAATCAGGACGATAAATGCAAACTGGTACCAGCCACCCCTATTCAAAACCCAATGTTTTTTTATTTTATTTTAAAGTTGTAATTGTAGTTTTTTCTAGTGTCTCGTTAGTTTTAATATATTTAGTCGTTATATATATATATATATATATATATATATATATATATATATATATACACACACATGCACGAACTCGAAAGCAATAACAACGACATTACCTCAATCTCATACAAATGCGGAGGTATGAACATGAAACTAATAGGCCAATCTACAAAAGTGTTAAGTATATTTTATTACAATGATTAATAAATTATAAGGGTAATGAATTTTACCTCATGTACACATTTAATCAATTACGTTGTTTTTTTGTACATGTATCACCATTAAACTTGTTTATCATGTTCAAAAAATATCATTATGATCGGTGTTAGAGTTTCAAACCCATCAGATAATATGGGTATAAAATGTCTCCAAATACACTTCTAATATGCACTATAAAGTAATACACGGAGGTAGGGTCGATCCTCGGAAACACCGAACAATTACTAACACGAAGTAAGCAGATTCGAAAAATGTAACGATTTCAACTCTATGTTTGAATGTCTTGTTAATGTGGCTCAATTAAGAAATATCATTCACTCAATTCTATCCAAATTGGTACTTAGAAATGTTAACAAGCTCTAACACTTCTCATTCACCAAATTATTAGATTTAAAACAAGCTCTTTAAAACTAACCTAATATTTGAATTCAAGTATAACTAAGCTCTTAGAAATAAACCAAAATATTTCATTAAGCTTTATGTGAATGTCCACAAACAACATCTGATACTCCTCACAAGTGTGGGAGTGTAAGAATGTATGAATAAAATTTACATTAAAAATCATTCATTGGAAATCAATTTAATGCATGTTATTAAGTCCATTTCACAAACAGTTATGGATTTTACAATTTAGATAACTTGAATGATCTAACCGTAATTCAAATGACCATTAATAATCAAAATTAAAACCAATTTATTTGTTGAAACAAAATCGAAATCATTAGATATAGTTTGAATATAAACATCAATTCTTATTATTAAACCACAAACGACAAGTCAAGAAATAGAATTGGAAAACATAGGGTTCTAGCCACACATGACTAGAACAAAGTCAACAATTATAGAAATGAAATTAAAGTACTAAAGTTGCTTACAAGATGAAATAAAATGTTTCCAAATGATCTCCTCAAAGTTAATAGTTAAACCCTTCTGTAAAAATCGCCCATTGGTCGCCTAGAATGAGAAATAATGTTCGGAATGGCCAAAAGTCCCGAAATAGGTCATAAAAGAAAACTGCCAAAAGCAGTTACACGTCTGACACGACTCCGTGTCAAATATAGTTAATATGACACGACCCAATGTGGTTTCAAAGTATATTGCCTTCTTTTGACCCGCCTCCAAAGTACAATGATGAAATTGGCACAAATCCTCGTTTGACACGACCCCGTGTCGAATTATACTTGAACAACACGACCCGTACATAGCTTCATGCCCAGTTTGACATAAATGTTGTGTGATGAATTCTCGATTTCTTCATTTTTGCCTCAAAAAATCTGCAACTTTGCTTCTGACCCTTTTTCACCATTTTGAATCACCTCCAACCTCCAGAACCACTTGAAAATGGCATAAAATTATGGAAATGAAATGTGCCAAAATTTGTCCCAAAAGCAAGTAAAATGCATGAAATATTATTGAAATGTTATGCAATAAAATGTATTAATATTGCTAAAAAAGTGCATAAAATGCACCCAACAATCGGCTAATGTAGGTTCAGTCGGTCGAGGGTACTTTTCTGACGAACACTATGGATTTTCTAGCCAAAGGACACACTATGAATGTTCCGGCCACACACACAAACTCGGTTCTGAAAATCTGGTTTTTTTAGGGTTTATTCTTGAAATTAGTATCCTGCATGTTGAAGAGCACATTCATAAATTTATAGTGTGTGTGTTCATTGTCAATATCAAATTGCAACATCCTAAGACAAAAATCAAAATCCATGAATCGAAAATTAAAACCCAAAAAATGAAATTGATTTCCTGTTGGCTGAAGAACGCACTTAGAAATCTGGAGTGTGTGTGTTTATGATCAAAATCGATTTGCAAAATCCCATAAATGAAACTTAAAACCTAGAAATCTGAGTTCTCTAAGTCTTAAACATTTTGGGTTCATTTTTTAGATACACGGGTTCATCTTTCGGGTTCATGTATCTTCATTTAGGTTCATGTTTTTAAATTTGGGTTTGTGTTTGATTTAGACTCGAGCATACAATTTGTGTTTCTTTCATGCCCAATAACTAAATGCTCAAGGGTTTTGAAACTAAAATCTTTTTAAAACCCATAAACCCCCTCAATTTCCCATAAAACCCATAAAAAATATCTTTTAAAGAAACCGAGTGTGTGTGTGTGCTCATGCCTCGTGTGTGAAACATATAAAAACCCAAGAGCTTAATGGTCAAGAACCATCAACACTCCCAAAAATTGTGTGTGTGTGCTCTTTATCACAATGTGTTATTGAAAACACACCCCAAAAATCATATATTGAGTTTGCATCTTTGAATCTTGATGTTATTGAGTGAAACCCCATGGATCATAAATCAAACCTTTGATGTTCTTGTATATGTGTTCGAGAAACCCCAAAATATAGAAAACGAGATAGGATGAAGCGAAGAGAGAAAAGTGATGTGTTTTTTTCATGTGTGTGTAAAACTTATAGATCTCTCGAGTTTTGGAAAATTAGATGAAGAATATGATCGCCAGAAACATCATGTTGCCTGGAGAAGACTATTGGAGATTCATCGAAGCTGTCAGGGACGTCAAAAACCGGCTAAAACTACAATAACCAGTCATAATTGTGTTTTATAAACAATGTAAACAAGTTTTAACGGTGATATATGTAAAAATGTATAATAGGACCAAAATCTTTTGATTTTGTCTCATGATAATGTAATGGGTACTCTAACTTCTACAAAATAACAACGTTGGATGCACGAACCGACCAATTAAGGCCAAAAGCATATCGCTGTCACACCCCGA